CTGGCGTAGCAGTAGGTATCAGCTGAAAAACAAGTTCTTCCAGCGCGCGATTCTTCACACCCGTGCTACACAATAGTACTACTACTGTCCCCCCCCACCCCTTGCTATCCCTCATTTGCCCTCAACCTCACCCCCTCCCCCTTTCGCCACTCACCCTCCACATAATTGTAATTTCAGGGCAAAAGTGCCAAATCGAGCACAGGAAAAAAGGGACCGGTTCTAGTGAAAAGGTGCTCGCTCCGTCCTTGTCTCCCTCGTTCTTCCTCAAAACTTTCCCTCCCGAAACTTTCGCTTTTATGTGCGATGTATTACGCACTACTGCTGCTGCTGCTCTTACGTCTGTGCTGTGGGAGCTTTACAAAGGGATATAGCAATTATAACCTTCCCTTGCAGCCGACCCTTCTCAGCTCATTTCTTCCACCCAAATTAACCAATTTTTCAGGCCCCTCTCCCCACCCTCCAATTCCATTTTCTTTTACCCTTTCCCTTCCCCCATAGTGAAACAACCTCCCTCCCCGTATTTGATTTTCCAATTTCCATCCCCCCAGGATGGCAGCGTCCAATCCTTAGGGTTGCTTTTCTCTCTCTCTACTCCTCTTTTTTCTAGGCTTTTCATCGCTCCCTCCTCCGCCCTCATCACCTTACCCTTCTGTCCTCAGCTCAAACCCCACCCGTCAACTGCTGCAACGTAAAAGCACCCCCTCCCTCCCTCGTTTCCAGCCCTCAGCTAAAATATCAAAAACCATAGATTATACATCATAGCACAGGAATACACTCATTTTGAGTTCCACACTTAAATCTACTGTCTAGACAGGACGAGGGCGCACTACAGCATCCCACCAAACTAAAATCTCCGCTGCCGCCCCATCCCTTCATTTCATGATTTCCGTAAATCTTACCCAAACTTACAATTGGACGCATTTCCACCAAACGAGTGCAATTTGTACAACCGAAACGAGTAGTGTCATTAGCAAGTGCCAAAAAAACCCCCACGAAAACAACTTTCGGAAAAAAGCAAGCAAAAATGTCCTTGAAAAACATTTCGAATGAAAAAAAAAAGCTCCAAAAAATTTTCATTTTTAATAAAATTCTACTTCTCAAGACAGTTTTTATATTTCCGTCCTATGTTCTCGGATATGTTAAATTTTTCCTGTTCCTCAATTGTCCTGGTTATCGCTTTAGTACAGGTCTTTCTCGAGTTCGTAATAGATTTTTAAGAGGCATAAATTAAGCAGAGCCCTTATGCATCATTTTTCGAATGGCATCCTGCAAAAAATTATCAGTGAAAATGTTATAACCGGAAATTTCATCTGCCACACTTATTTCTACGAAAACTAATAGTATTGTTCATAGTAGCCCGTGAATTTCACTACCACTTTAAGTTACCTAGCACTATACAATATTACAGTCTAGGACTGGAAAAAAAAAAAAAAAACCATACGCAAAAGAATGAAACAACACATTGATTTCTATAAAATTTCGTAAAAAAAAATACATATATATATATAAATAGAAAATATATGAAAAATGCATATATCGCGAACATATACGCATTCGCAAGTAAACGTACAATGCAAATTTACTAGAAACATGAGAAAATAAAAAGTGAAAAATGCCAACCTTCCAGCCGGCAGAACTATTGGAATCGCCTTTATCCCTGAAGTACGGCACATTCTGTACCATCCACTCGTATACTGCAAAATGAAATAATTAAATGAATATTCGTAATAAAAAGTGCAGCGTATTCTCAAAATAAGTGCCAAACACAAGCATTTCCAAATCGATAAAGGTTTATTTGATTACTCTGTTTGACGATATTAAAACACACCAGAGGGTCTAGTTGTTTTAAACTACAAGTTAATGGATCGAAACGTCCTTACCTTAGCTGATACTAA